TGTGCAGGGTTTATTTTAAAGTAGATTTAGATTGCTCCTATGCACTAAATGCCAGCTAACAGCCAGGGTACATTTTTCAGTTCCATGATCCAAAAGGTATTTAGTTGATACTGTCATTAACTTTTCTATGGTATCAACTGAAGTATGAGAGAGTAGGGTCATTCAGTAGACTTTCTTCAAAGTTTTTGGTGAGGAACTAACACTAAGGTAGATCCATCTAAAAAATGTAACAGTAACCACATTATATGCACTGTCTATAAAACAAGTATTCTCCTACATTAAATGTTTTATCACAATGCCCACACCCTAAAAAAATATATTACAGAGACCCAAACAAATAGAATCATAGAATCACTAAGGCTGAGAAATGACCTTGAAGATCATCAAGTTCAACCTTTGACTAAAGCCATCATGTCAACTAAATCATAGTGCTAATTGCCACATCCAGCTGTTTCTGAATCCAAACATACAGTAATATCGAACACATAGTAATGACATAAATTTTTAAAAGTTACTCTAAATTAAGACAAAGCAAAACTATAATGGAAATTATTACAGCACCATTGCAGAAATTCATGTTACAATCCACGCTTTTTATGAGAATTTGAAAAGAACAAGGGCAGAAATCAGCTGAAGAAACTCTAGGGTGAATGTGAAGAGACAGACCAGACAAACTATCAGACTACATATAGCACATTCATGGTATTTAGTTTAATTTTATTTATATTCACTTTTCCCCTCACAAATAATTGAATATTCTGCAGATATCAGTCTACACCATTACCCACAGGAACTGCTGTGGTCTAAGAATATCAGTACAGGGTCCTTCAAGCATAAAACTATTGCCTGTGAGTGCACAATTTAGTATGACCCTAAGAGACTCAGTCTACGCAGGATTTCTTCAACTTCAACCTAAAGGCACATCAAATACCAAAATCTATTTGCTAGAATGTGACCAAGTGTACTGGTGTTTGGTATGCAAGAAACAAAGACTACCTTAATTAACACATTTTCCAACCATAGAGAACAGTATCTGAGCTTGAAGTAAAGTGTGGGAATCTGTTAAAGATCTTAGTTCCTCAAAACCTTCTCAATGTAGACATAAAAACGAAAATACACTTATTACTTATGTGGGCTTCAGCATATTTGACTGGACATGTAGTTTCTCTTCTGCCTTATCATGTGTGAAAGGACTCAGGTTTTTCATCCTAATTTGAATAGGAACCTGCACTACCACTAGCATTTACAGATCTATATAGGGGTTTAGCATTTATTGTCAGAATTTAATACTGCTTACATAAACACATTTATTTTTAACCATGCTTAAAGGTTGCTGCAGTTACAAAAAATACTTGAAGTGTAAAACAACCATATTATGGTAAACACAGTAACTTGATGTTCTGATGACAATTTTGTGAGCTTGAAGGAAAGCAAACTACTTCTTAAAGACACCATGAGAAGGACTAGCAAAGGCAAATGCAGGTACAAAATAACATCTGAAAATATATCTGTCATGCTCCTATTTTTATCTCCTTGCTGGTGCACTCGATGTAGATTTCTTCGATGCCTCATACTGGAAACTCTTACTGTGCTTTCCAATTACTGTATCTAAATAGTCAAATTAGACTACTACAGAATGCCTTTCTTCATCCACAGACATGCACGCTACCACTATTCATGGTATTCTCTATCTGAGAGCTGAGTTCCAGGACATAAATGATAATTTCCTGTTGAATGATAATGCTATTTCCACTCCACTAAAAAGGCCTTCCACTGAACAACTTTCAATCAGTACGATTAACATGAATCCTAAAGGCCACATCAGATAAGCGAAAGTAAAGCATTATAAAAACAAAGGCCTTAAATTGTAAATTTCAGAAAACTGTGATAAACTGGTGAAGGACTTCAGAATCTCTTCTTGTCTTATTATCCCTAGTATTGATTGAAATCTCTCCACCTTGAAATTGTTGATGAGGACAAATCTATTGAGTCTCATTAAATCCAGCACAGGAATGAAGTCCCCAGAGCATTTGGGACCACTAAAGCAGATGCTACACATTTTAGAAAAATATTCTCTATCCTTGAGAATATGAACTACAGCTGCAATATGAAATAGACATCAATTTATTTCCATAAAACCTCTAATGTAAAGGAGTTATTGTAGAACACAGCATCCTTAAAATTTGTACTTAGAAAAAAAAGGTACGTGAAGTAAACCCAACTTGATAAAACAGGTTACAGATCTTTACATGGTGCTCACTACAGCTCGACTTGAAAATCTGTGCTCCTCAATAAATTTACACATAATTCAAAGCAAGTTTATGACCTCAGATTTATCAGAAATACTTTTTCTTTTTTCAGTCTCTTGTTTCATACTACACATCAACATCAGCACAAAAACCTGTTTTTCTCAATGGCACCCTGTTAACATGAACTTTGAATATGTGACCCAACCATACTGCTTGAGCTACAGCACATGGTGCCTATCTGACCACTAACAGAGAGGTCATTGATCTTGCTGTAAGGGACAATGTATCATAGGATGTACACGCTGATAGGCTCAATGCCATTTGAAGAAGTAGGAAAATATTCCTTTGTGACTGTATTTATGGAATAGCTGACACATCCTTATCTAGCTGTTGCAGACTGCATATTATTAATGAAGGGAAGACAAACAGAACACAGATTTGTCTGCAATAGTTTGTGTCTCTCTCATTGAAGCAAAAGAATAGACATTTATATTATTTCTATAGATGCTGAGTTTTTCAAAAGCCTGCTGTGACTTTGGTAGGACTGCATATTTGAAAAATCCACATTACTTGATGCAATTACAATTGGTTGTTTTATACAGCTCTGATCAGAAATACATAATAGGATTGCCACAATAAATTAATTCCTTTCCCCTTCTGAAGTTCTCTTAACTCAACTTGCCACAAACATTAGCTCTATTCCACTGTGACTCAGGAACTTCACTTACCCCTTTTTTCACTGTTTTTGTCTCTTTTTTCCATATTTTCTTCAGGTTTGATATTTTGCAAAAAGACAACTTAGCAGTTCCACAAAAGTAATTTTTTAGCAGATATGAGTTGGCTTTTGCTAGTTTAAGAGAACTTACTCCTCCATGTTAAAAAATATTGAATTCAACACCTCCAAACCAGCAAATTTTAGAGTCTTTTGTAAACTGGGACTATTTGGCAGCTAGCAAAAATTAGGGGTTACCTTCTAAACCACACTACTCTTGTTATAAGATAGTTTTAAGAAGAAGTTTTAAGTCCTGCCTAGACTAACTAAGAACTGTGAACCAGCTTTCTGAAGCAATCCTAAATACTGAACCAAGCCCAGATTAAAAGTGGCTTGACCCTATAGCTATATTAATATAACCATCAATTTTACATATTACTTAAGCAACTATTTTTCACAAGACACGTCAAACTCTTTCCCATACTGAAGAAGTACTGGCAAAATCTCCACTGTGCAAGGTAAAGTAACCTTTATAAAAAGTTTTTTTATGCTTTAAAACAGTGTCATGAAAATCCAGTTTTATTTTCTTTCATATTGTACTGCTGTAGAACTTTTCTGGAAGAATATGGTTTTATCAACACCAGTGAAGACATGTCTTCCCTTTTCTTTTTTTTTTTTTTTTTCTTTTGAGTGACTCAAAGGATTCATTTAACACCTTCAGAAGCACTGACTAGAGAATGGAAAATAAAAAACTAGCAACTCCTGACACCTCCATTCTCTTTTTTTTTTATCCTAGTATTTACTCTGTCTTGCCCTAGACATATAAATTCCTCCTGCCTTGGACATGTTCTGAACAACTTTGACAGAAGGTCTACCTGTAGCTTGACTGAGCTACTACCGCAATGCAGAAATTATTTAATATCATCATTGCATCATCACTGTATCATCACTGCAGTCAAATAAACTGCAGAGTTTTTAGGGTTTTTTCCACTCTTTTTTATATGCAACAGTTCTTTATGCTGGCATTTCACACAATTTCAAATTACCTTAGCAAACCACATCACATAGTACAATGTCAAGTAGACAAGTGCTGTGCACTACAAGCTATGAACACTAAACAAACACACCTTTGGAAACCCAGTACCGATTCTGGTTTGACTCAGGTCTAGCTCCACAGTTTTATTACAACCTGCACACTCTAAGTAAGATGACAAAGGGAAGAAAAATTTTTTGAGAAAAAGCACTGGCAATACACAACTTCAGAATGCAGTTCCAAGATAGCAGAACACATGTGCAAGTTGTTTATTCTTCCTTGTTTATTCTTCCTTGCCTTCTTCCTTCATAATCTTTCTAAAAAGGAAGCAAACATATTTCTTATATTTGTTAGAGACTGAAAAACATATATAAGTTCATAAACCTGAAAGAAGTTCTGAGTAGTGAGTGTTTGACAGATCAAGTGAACATTGTCCCTTACATTCACCAATAACATAAAACTGTTCTGCAAATACACATATTGTTCCAACTTTGTGAACTAGTTAACCATTTCAAAAGATAATATAGCAACAATTTTTCCAGTTAATTTTTATACAGCAGGTTTTTGTGTCTTAAACCACTAATATTCTTTGTGATTCAAACAAAAACTTTAGTGAAAAGAGTATTTTCCCCTGAACTTTGAAAATCAATTGGGAGAATTTAGTAACTGAAAGCTCCTGTCCTACAGAAGAGAAAGAAGAATAACATAATTAATACCAAATCAGATAAAGAAACTCATATGCTTGGCAATTCAATCCTACATTTCTTCAGATGCAACAAAATCTAAATTTTTCAAGGCTGATCAATTCAATGTATGCAAGGGGCCATGTATGCTGGTACGCAATCAGGCCAAAAAACTCAGATACTCAATTATATTTTGGCAATAATAGAGAATAACAGAGGTCTAAAAAATGCAACACTACAAAGAGCTTTGATTGCTCTGTGCATTGATATTGTACAGATGGATATTAAAATGAACCCTATGAGCATAAAGCAGAATAACATACTTTTTCATATGTTGTTTTAGCTGTGTGAGCATATTCTTGGTCTTGCAGTACTTCTTGTGTATCAGCATTGAGAGACTCTAGCTGCTTTATCAGCTCAGCCTGCTGTGTTCTATCTTCAGTGTTTTGTCTGTAAAGATTCTGTAGCTCCTCCAACTCCTTCCTGTGCAAAACAAGCAATAAAGAGAAATTAAGAAAAAGAACAATGACCTCTGTTAAAAAATTATATGCAAATAATTTTATTGTACATAATGAGCTTCCTATCTTCATTTATTTTTCTGTCAATTGCCTTACAAACACTGTAAGTTACATATAAAATACTTACTATACACTTTTGAGAAATATCTAAAAAAGTTAACTTTCAAAATGGAATGCCTTTCTATTTCCCTGCAATACTTTAACTGCTCTAAAATAAATAAATTTTCACTACTTCATTTTTTTCTAATCAACATTCAGTTAATTCTTTAGCAGTAAGTGTCAAAATGTAAAATACACAGAATACATCAACTGTAAATAAGTTGTTGGGGTTTTTTACCTAGAACAATCAGAAAAAGATAAAACTTTTTCCTGAACTTGCAGAGTACATGTGAAGCAAACTTTTTTTCTGACATGCATCTACTTCCTAGACACATGAATATGTTTGCTGATAAATTCCTTTTTGTCTGCAGGTAAGGCATACTGCAACAACATAAACAAAGTAAGCAAGACCTCTGGTGCATATCATATAACATTATAAAAACCCTATAAAGACAATAAGAGGAATGGTGTTATAATGCAACCATAGGATAGATCTACTATAATCAGCTGTCTAAATAATTTCACTGTACTGCTGATGGATTTTCTAAATTAAGAATAAAGCACAGTAACACTTACTGTGTTTACTATAAACAATGATTAAAACTTTGAATATTTTCTGCAGCACATATTGAAAGTACAGATGACTCTATTAATCCCTGCTTATGTATTTTCTACTTATTTCCCTTTTAATTCACAAGCATATTTCAAACTAATATTACGCAGAGATACCAAAATATATTCTTAGCACTCAAACTAATTTTCCTCCTTACTTCCTCAAAGAATTGTCTTTTTATCCTCTAACACATATGTAATATTTCTGTGACTGGAATTATCATGAACAGGTGTTACAATTGTATTTTTCTAATGCTTCTGGAGATATCCAGGTAAAGATTAGTGTATAAAAGGTAAGCAGCAATACCAACTTCACTGTCTTCTTCCAGGGAAAACAGAATGACAAATAAACAATTTTAAGGGAAGTTCACAAAAGTTTTTCTTAAAACCTGTGCCACTAATTAGAGTTTGTGACTGAATGATTATTCAATACAGATACATCTGAATAATTATATAAGAATTTAAACTACATGTGCAGTACAACAGTCAGTTTTCTTTTGTAAAAAAGCACCAATTTCAGAAAGCCTGTTAAGAGAGCAACAAAGGATTACACTTAAGGACACACTAACCATGCTTACTAGGACTCAATACTAAGTCCTGCTGTTCTGAATGAACAGTAGTTCCCCAAAGTTAACAAAGGTAGGGATACACTAAAGACTCCTGATGTAGGGAAGTGCAACTGCAGAACGTATTGCACATGTACTAATTTAATTCAGTTCAGAAGAATAGCAGCAGAACTACAGACAAGTGATACATTAGTGCTTTCTGACAGCTCTACAACAGGCTTCCAAACAACCTCTTGTTTAATTTCCCTGACTGCATTTATATAATAGAAAATAACACACCTTTTCACTGCAGTTGAAACACAGATTATATTAATTTTTCACAGGTTCTCCAATCAAATCTTCATTTTGTTGTGGAAGGGAAAAATATGGGATAATGTTGAATCCTCAAGACTAGTCTGCTATATTGCTACTTTTTAATTTGTATGCAAACATCAATGCAGTTATCTGTGTCTGTCACCTGAGAATGCAGTATTATGTGTTCTCTAATGGTCTGCCCACAAAGTGTATTAAGGTCAATGGGAATCTTCTTTATTGACTTTATCAGACTTCCAGTTATATCCTTAAGGGGAGGTGTGGGAGGGGGAAACTAAATCTTGCAACCACACAAGAACCACAGCACAGTCAGACACATTAACATGTTTGTCTATGTTAAATTCAAAATTTTTAAGTGTAAGGAAATTCAGTCACAGTTCCATTACAATACATTTTAGAAATCAAACTTTATTTATTCATACTTGTACTTTAACTTGCTTTTGTCTTTAGTGAATGAGACCCTGTTTTTACGTTGTAAATCAGTGGGGGAGCCTTCTTTTATTTCACTTTTACAGACCAATATTGAAATTATGCTAACCTTTACCAGGAACTATTCAGTACCAACGTGCAATACAAACAAATACACATAAATAAGTGCTTTGATAACAGATGACCCAAATCAATGAGGAGAGTTTTAAATTAGGAACAGAAGGGATCAAAGATGCCAATGAAATGGCAAGTGAGGGAGCTGCAGCCTGAACTGGCAGGCAAAAGCAGACAGGTAGATACAGACAGAAAAGACCTTGTGATGAGCAGCAGAATGTTCAGGGAGGATGTTCACTTTATGCACATAAATAATGGGAGTGCAGACAGTATGAAGGAGGTTCATAAGAGTCTTCCTGGTGAGAGGAGAAATGGGTGATAATGTCTTCACGAAAAACTCATTCTGAAAGAACCAGTGAAGTTCTGGAGAAATAGGTGCGGGGGTCTTCATGAATATCAAGCAACTCTAGTTTGTTGCAGAACCAAGTACATGCTGAACTTCAGGGAAAAATACGCAGGCTTGCTAGACTTATGAATATTAACTTCTCCAGCCAGGGTGGGTTTAAAGCTAATTTTCACTGCCATGCAATGCATAATGGGGGTGATGGGGATACATCTTACAGGGGGAATGTAGTAGGTGATTCAGGAAGGCTGTATCTTCCTAGAACCTCAGCCAATGGGGAAAGGAGGAGGGGGCCAACATGCAGTCAGGGGTTTAGGATAAAGGAGGCTGTGTCTTTCAAAAACCCAAGACTACTCTGTCTCCTTTGTAGAATCTGGCCTTTTACAGTGTGATTTTCCACGCTCCGGGAAATTAGTTCAACTAGGTGCCTATCTGAAGCTGCTGTTCAAATGGACATAGCACATCTTCATGGAAGACAACAGGGGCAATGAGAGATCTGTTTGCACCTGCTGGACTCCCTGGGATAACAGAGACAAGGTGGGACAACTTACATGACTGAAGCACTGCCATGCATGGATACAGGTTCTTTAGGAAGGCCTATGTTTAAAAACAAGGTTCTGGGAACATAGAGCAGTCAACTACATCTTAGTCCCTGGGAAGGTCCCTAGACCATGTAGTGGAGAAGATGATCACTGGGAGTCATAAGTGGAAGTAAGTATTTACAGAATATTCTGAGTTGAAAAGGGACCACAATGATCATCAAGTACAACTTTTAAGTAAATGGCTCATACAGGAACAGAACCCACAACCTTGATGTTATTAGCATCAAGGCAGCCTTCTCTGAGGGAATTCCTATCTTAGTGGATAAGGGGTGAGCACCGGATGTTCTTTTTGACTGCAGTAAGACTCTTGACATAGTGTCCCATAAAACGCAATAGACAAGACTGATGAGGTATATATAGGTTAGATAAATGGACAGCAAAGTTCCCTTGAACTGGTAGAACTACTGGGTTTGAAGAGTTGTAACCAATGACAAAAAATCCAGCTCAAGACCTAGCACTAAAGGAGTAGCCTTAGGGGCTAATATTAGGGCCACCACTTTTCCACATCTTCATTAATGACCCAGACAATGAGACAGAAGGGGGATTGCACAACAGATGTTTGGATGCCATTGAGAGGGACCTTTACAGACCAGACAAAAGGGTGGACAGGAACCTCATGAAATTCAACAGAGACAAGTGCAAATTACTGCCCCGGGGTGGGGGGGGTGGGGGTAAAAATCCTGTGTAAAAGCACAATCTGGGAACAGACAGGCTGGAAAGCACCTTATCAGAAAATACTCTGGGGATCCTGGTGGACACCTGAATGGCCATCAGATAGCAATGTGGCCATGTGCCAAATGCCAATGATATCCTGAGCTTTGTAGAGGATACCCCTGCCAGCAGGGCAAGGGAGGTGATACTTCCCCCATAGTCAGAAGTTTTAAGGCACATCTTGGTGCTGTGTCTGGTTCTGGGCTCCCCAGTACAAGAGAAACATGGACATGGTTGGAGAGAGCCAATGAAGGGCCACAAGATGATTTAAGTATTGCAGCAACTGCTGCATATAGAGCAGCATAGAATACCTAGAGAGGCTAGGAAAGCTGGTCTGCTCAGCCTGGAGAAGAGAAAGTTCAGTGACAACTGAACTATCAACATCTATAAATACCTGATGGCAATCTAGAAAGAAGATGCAGATGGACTCTTGTAAGTGGTGCTCAGTGACAGGAAAAGAGGTAATAAGCACCAATAAAAACCAGATGTAATTCCAGCTGAACATACTAAAAATATTTTTATTCATTGAAAGAGGCCAAACACTGGAAGAGCCTACTCAGAGAGGCTGCAGAGTCTCCATTCTTGGACATACTCAGATTGGACACTGTACTGGGCAGCCTGCTGTAGCTGATACTGCTGGAGCAGAGGGCTGGATCTACTGGAGAAGTGTACTACACCATCTCCAGAGGTGTCTGCCAGTTTCAGCCACTAAGTGATCTCTGTGATTCTGTTACTAATTTTCTTGTCCTGTGCTCAGAGTATTCAAAATCAACCTCAAAATATTTATTAACTTACTCTAAGCAGCAAACAATAAACACTCTACCAGACAGACACCTTATCCTGTCACTGCAGCAGGATAAGAATGTCAAGTCCTCAGAAAAATTATTGTCTTGTGTGAGCATGTAACAGAAGAAATAACCAAAAATTACTAATTGAATCTAACAAGTATAATGAGTGGCATTTAACATATAAGAGCCACTATACACACAAACACACACATATATATATATGATATACAGGCATCTATACATGCATACAGATACATAAATATAAATACATCTCCATATAAAATACATGAATTATAAGTAAACATGTACACACATATACATATACAAATATAAGCACATGGTGGCAAAATGTTTCAACATACCTTACACTTTAAAGAAACACAATTTTAATAAAAATGTTGCCATGAGCAACAGTAATTGAAAAAAAACAACACTGTCAGCTAAGACCCAAACTGCAACACTTAAGTCTACTTTTTTCCATCACCCCAAACTTCCCATACACTAACACGCTACGATACACTGAGAGCTTTTAACTTTTTTAAGAGCAAATTCAGCAGATGGTACTGAGAAATAAAAAAAACCACCTCTCTGCCTCTAACCTCGTATCTTAAGATGAATACAACAGGAAATGAAGAAATTTACAGAAAGTGACATGCACACTTCAAGCAACAAGAAAGATAAAACTGTTTTTCATAGCACTCCTTTTCTGACAAAATAGAAGAGCATTACTAAATTATGTCAGTCCCTGAATTAAGATTGTTGGTACAGTAAGCTTAGTAGACTTTGCTTTCAGCTGGATGCTACATGAAGATACCACAAAACACACAGCATCAAGACTCAAACATTTGACACCTTATCTGACCAGTAACAATATTTAAGTCACTACTATTGCTTAGAGCAGAGACAGCTTTGGTGCTCACAAACATTACCTTCTATCCCTAAAACATAAGATTAAATAAAACCTTTCCATCCTTGCAGGGGCAAGGGGCCTTATATGCTCAGATCAAGGGTTTTAGAGTAACCTGTGGCTTCCCAGAGATGTAAATGAAATTAACAGCTATTGTCATTCCACAAGCTATAGAATGTGCTGTGCTACAAACAGAATTAAAAACCTACACATCACTTCAGGTGATGTTCTTAGCCTTGTTTCACCCCCACAATTCTGGTGAACATACTGGGATTTTGAGCATCTCAGCTGTCCTTGTTACCAAGGGAATAAAACATCATTTGGGGTAATTCGAGAAATCTCTAAATCCCACTACCTGTAGTTTAAAAATACAACAGAGTGACAGGTCCTACAAATTATGACTTCTCATGGAAATGCCATAAATACTACAAAATGGTTTGCAGCACACAGCAAAGAATAACCTGAAAAATCCAAGAGCAGCAAAACAAGACCTGAGGAAATATCTGACTGCCTCATAATTTACAGCACACAAGTTAATAGTAACTGCATTGGAAAGGGTGGTGGGCTGGGCGGGGGCACACATGGTGGGGGGTAAAAATAGAAACATTATAACAGCAAAAAAAAAGTTGGAAAAGCATCAGGGATAGAGTTGGACTAGATAAGAATCAAAGGAATGAAGTTATGGCCCACATTTCCACTAAAAACATTGGGGCAGGAAATTAATTTTAGAATAGATTTTACTATATTTGCAAACAGTTCAATATTTCCTGAATACTTGTGACAGCAAGGCTCAAGCCTCAGTGAGTCAATCAATTCTATCCAGTTTGATGTTCAGTGCTCCACCAGAGCTGTGTCAGACCACAAAGTTCTAGACCCTGGTACTTACCACAATTTTAAAGCAAAAATAACCAAGCTCGATAACATGAAAATGGAAAGGTTACCATGGATTCTAAAGAGATACAGAAAATCTGTACTAAATTCAAACATCAAAAGTATAACAAGAAAATGCATGTCACACGTAATTCAGAAGTTTGAAACAAAACCCAGTAAGGTGAAGAGTGCTTTCCAAAAATTAAGGCAAAAAAAGAAAGGTAATGGCTTCTTGAGGACATTCACAATACAGGATGTATCCTGAAAATACTGTTCGGTCACTGGTCCTAGAAAATATATCTTCCACACCTTCAAAGTATGTAGCAGACTTTTACTGGCATATGGCAGTATTTTCAAAACTACCTTGTTATTCTGTAGAACCAGAGTTGCACTGGAGTATTTCTTCAAAGTTTGATGTCTGCTAATTTCCTGAAGAAAACAATTCTCTTGTTGTCTACAGACACATCTACTGTTAAAGTAAAAAAACCTCTTGCCAACAGACTGACAGATATGCACAACGTGGGAAGTGGCGAATGCACAAGAATCAGAGTACTAGCCCAGTATGTACGTATTCCCTTGAAGACTTCCTTCTGCAACTGAACTTACCACATAGTGTAAAAATTTCAGACAGTATTACCAAGTCATCAGTGGAAGGTGTATTTTTCTGAATCTGCCTATGCTGCATCTGAAAGAAGACACCAAATGAAGGAAGCCAGTTGCCTTTCTTTCCTTCTTATTCTAGAGCTTGTTTCTAATAATTTCAATTGTGTTCCTGCTCTGTTTTCACAGAATGAGAGGGTGTGGAAGGTAGGAAGGCAGTAAACAGTGAGACAGGGTACTGGGGAGAACAGACACATTTGCAAGCCAGACTGTCTTTTCAGCTCTGAAGTTTGAAATTGATGATTGGAAACTGAACTGAAAATGGATTTAAAAAAACCCCAACAATGTTATCATAAATAGGAAAAATTAAATGCTTTAATCATTAAGTCAACACAGTTGCAAGATTTTGGCCTAGGAAGATGGGAAGATGGAAAGACTTCATTTTCTCCTCGTATTTTTTCCTTTAACTGAGGAATTGCTTTAATTTAAATAAGACTTTGTCTTCTTTTTACAAACACTTGCTTAATTTTGATGCATTTTTTTTAATGAGAAATAACAGAAAAGTAATTTTCTCTACATACTGACATCTCAGAAGGAGAAATTTCAGTATTCTCTACCGTGAAAGTACAGAATATTTGCAATTCTTAGTAAGTATTGCTAACTACTAAAACTGTGAATTTTATATAATATAAGCTTAAGCCTTCTTTCTTCGTAACAGAAATTTCAACAAGAAATTTGTAGCTGGAGTTCATTGAGAAAGATTAGCAGACAACTAATTATAATGATACTGATCAAACATCCAGATATAGACATGTGAAGCATAACTCACATACTAGTGATACCCAAAAATACTATTACTTATTGCATTACCACTAAGTATCTAGGAAGGAAAACATTACAGCACACAAAACCTCCCATATGACTGATCTACCACATAGTTTCCCATAAATCTAGAGGATTGGTTATATGGAAAAACATATAAGAAGGCTTCACTTTAAAATAGGTGTAGTCTTCATCTCTTTATTACCTCATGTTCAGATCTTATGTTCAAAAATGTCTTTATTTTACTTCCCTATTTTAATGAGGTGTTTGTGCTAAATTCTAAGAGGTTGTTCCGCAAAGAATATCAAAGAATTCATTTTGAGAAATTTGAAGTTCAAAGATTTGGCCAACTCAGACTGCAATATCTGAAGCTGAAACCAAGCAAGCAGCAACTTTGCAAACTTGATTACCTGACTCTAAAATGCCTTCTTTGCTCTCCCCAGTCCTCACACATATATATTTTTCTGAGAATAACTGCAGGAGATAAAGTCTATTAGTCCATTGCTGAATTTCACAAATTCCATTGACTGTCTCTTTCAATACAATCTTCCAATAAGCTTACACATGTTTATTGACTTTTTAAAACCCAATTGGTATTATTCCTTTTAAACATGCAAATAATTTTTCTTGTAAAGGCATCACCTTTCTTGTAGAGATTTCAACATGACAAGATTTCAAGATGACAATTTAGTTCAGATGCATCAAAAAAAATATTTCTTCGTTTTTGTTTAAAAAAATAAAAAACTTAGAAATTTACTCCCTAAAGAATATTTGTGTTTGGAAAGTAAAGAGGAGTATCCATACCAATGACTTCTACTTCCCAACTGCAGCTCACCATTTAAAGAATATTGAAGGGAATATTATTAATCTGACATAGGAATGAAACGATGTGTATGCCCCTGAAAATAAGAAGTAAAACACAGACAATTTCCTGACAATTGACATAGAGTTACCAATTATCTTCTGACATTACCTTAATTCTGGGGAATTCAGTAGTCTTTTCAATTCATACAATTCATTCTGTCCTTTAGTTCTTTTCCAAGAACAAATAATGCAGCACTAATCTTACAGATTCAGTGTAAAGAAATAGTGTGTGAGACCTAAGATTAAGCTTAAATCACTGCACTTTAAACCTTTAGCAGAGGCCTACGTAGACTTTTGCTGACTTGTCAGATTTTACACTAATTAAAAAGTTACACTTAGGCTTAAAGCTTTTTCAAGTTTAGGGTGTTCAGCCTCTCTAATTAATGTTCATGTCACTAATCATATTGTTACTTAGCTACTTTCAGTCAAGATTGGTAGTTCTCTGACACAATGTAAATTACAGAAGTATAATTTCTTAAATCTATCATTACTGAAAAACGGGTAAGATATACAAGAGTCAAAATGTATCAGGAAGAGCCTACATAAACTGGCAGACTTCCAAAAGCCTTACGTCTTGTGAACAGAATTCTAAAACCACACTGTTGCACAAAAGTATCTTCAATGCACTACAATGCTTTCCAACTGGAACAACAGCCTTTTTGAGAGGATTCAGACTTAAAGTTATTATGAAATACTTACTCAGCTCCGACCACATCAAAATCCTTTTGGAAACATTCTTCCTGTTTCACATCTACCTGAGATGACAAGGTACTGCATATACTGCGCCAACTTTTAATTTGCTCTCTTGTCTCTGCTAAATCAGTTTCCAAATCCTGCAAAGAAAGTAACTGACATGCATTAAGAAGAAATGCTATGCAAGTTATCTATGTATATAGATATATGGATGTGCCCATACATACGTGCCTACATTTATTGAAGTCTAAGCAAATACATATAGGTAGGTATATGTACATGTATGAAAAATGTGAAATACCAGGAAAAAAGGTGTATTTCAAATTTTAGGTGGCTACCTTTTCTTTAAGAAATTTTCCTTAACTCAGTTGCTGAATCAAACCTTTACAAAACAGTAATTCTCTAACTACTAAACTGATTAAACCTTGTTTTCTATGTAGAAGTTCCTTTAAAAAGCAGCCATGCATTCATTGTTTTAACCTCTCACAAAAATTCACAATATCATGTATATGAACAAAGAATTATAGCTACAGATTCATTTTTGAGACTGCTTGTTAAATCTGCTCTTATTTTGCACTATTCAGTGCAAGGAATAGCTTCTTCAGGAAAAGAAACAGCATACCAGAAAATTTCTGAAAGTGCTCACTGAAAACAATGCAAATGAGCAAAGGTCTGCCTTTTACCATAAGCCCTACTGTAGAAGTTAGTAAACTGCAAAGGTCCATCTAGGAAACACAGCAGCAAGGCAGCTTACCCAAACAAGACTTCAATGTCTACACAAACCTTGCTGAAGTTCCCTAAGAAGAGCACATCAGTCCTTACCAAGCTTTGTATGACTTTTCTCCCCAGAGTTTTTTGAGGCAAGAATAGAAATACAAATATTACAGCAATATCAAGAACAGAATTTCAGATGGTGGCAACAGCGTAGACCTGCTTTGGTATTTTGCTACTCACAGATGCAATCACTCGTTCTCAGTAAGGCAAATATTTCATGATTCATTAATAATTTAAAATAAAAGTCTCCTCTTAGAATATCCTGATCAACTACCAAAAGTATATTAGTTTTCCATTTACATACAGACTTAAAGAAATAAGAAAATGTACATTTTCCCCTTTCAGCAATGATGCCTTAAATACTGAGGTTATCAAAATATTTCTATAACTGAAAAGTGAATAATTAAATTCTAAATAAATCAAATTCCTTAAAATTGCATAAAAATGTCTTACAGGTATTTAGATGTATCAGAAGTTTACTGCAATCAAATTCCTAGAAATTGTATAAAAACTGTCATGTCCTGTTAATAACAGTAACATTGATGTACGGAAATAGCAAAATTCACAAGTGAGTGACGTAGGAAATAAATTTGTTTCTTGACAAATATCAGGCTACATACCTGGTATACTCATTCAATGCCAAAGGCTAGGTAGACAAACTTAATTTTTCCTTGAATAATGAAAAAATTCAAAATTAAAGGAATTCATTCCTAATGTGTTCATTATCAACACATACATTTTTTTAAGTGTAAAAAGGTATCTATAACTTGCAGACAAGTAAATGTAGGGTTTCTCCTCAGTATTTTTCTCCTCTGCAGCTAAAGATATTGAATATGTGAACAAAAACTGTAATAGTTCATATATTCTGTGAATAAATTCTATTTACCTATTTCTAATACCACACTACAGAGTTGCAGGTTTTCCATGGAAGAGATGAAAAAAACCTAACATTACCAATGCTTTAAGTTCCCATCATCCATTGCAGAGTACAATACAAAGAATATGTAACACATTATTTTGTCATAAGTAAAACTTCAGAAGTTATCAAATGGCAGATTTTAAAATTAGGAAAAAAGTATCTTTCAGTACTTCATTGGTGACATATTTAACTTCAGCTTTTGGTTACAAGTAAGAAATTCATCAGCTCAACCTTTTGAACGTATTTTGAATCAAATTTTTTGGAAGCATTACTGAAAGAGTAAAACATGAAAAACGGGCAAGAAAAAACTTGTTATACAAATACCTTAGATACTGAAATAAGTTCAGCTGAATACTGAAATCTAAAATAGAAAAGTTCAGCTGAATACTGAAGCCTAAAATAGAATCATAGAATGGTTTGGGTTAGGAGGGATCTGAAAGGTCACCTACTTCCAACTTCCCTGCCATGGGTAGGGAGCTCTCCCTACTAGGTCAGGCTGCTCGAGGCCCTATCCAACCTGGACTTGAACAGTGCAAGGATCTGCCCTGGGCAACCTGTTCCAGTGTCTCCTCATCCTCATAGTAATGAATTTCTTCCTAATATCTAACCTAAATTTCCCCTCTTACAATTCGTCCTGCTCCTTGTCCTATCACCACAGTTCCTGACAAAGCATCCCACTCTGGTTTCCCTGCAGGCCCTGGTCAGATCCTGGAAAGTTGCTATGAGGTCTCCATACAACTTTCTCCTCCTCATGCTGGACAGCCACAACTTGCTCAACTTGTCTTTGTAGGGAAGGTTGTCCAGTTGCCTCATGGCCCTCCTCCAGACTTTATCCAGGAATACCATGGGAATACCTCATGTTGGGAACACCAGAAATATACATAGCACTCCTGGTGGGGTCTCACAAGGGCACAGCAGAAGGAGAAAATCACCTCCTTTAACCTGCTGACACATCTCTTTCAATGTAGCCCATTATACAGATTTCTGGGCTGCAGGTGCACATGGCAGGCTCATGTTGAGTTCTTCATCAACATCATATTTTTGACCATGAAATAACCTATAATATCTTACACTCAGTTTCTGAGTATCTGCATTTTTAAGATCATATGGAATTTATCACATTTCCTTCTTGTTGATACAGTAGCCGAAAACGTTAACTGTGTAAACATGCTATGTAGATTTGTGAAAATTTACCTAGCACAAATACTCCTAATCTGGGTTCATTTCAATGGAGTGTTTAAGATTCAAGCTTTTAAAGCCTATTAAAAAAATGCTACTTGAAACAGTCAAAACATCGAATAATTCAGTTATACAAGAGCAAAAATGCATATTTATAAAGGACAAAGTGCAAGACAGCAAGAAAAGGTCAATTTAAAAGAACTTCAAACATGAAAAGCATAAGAAAACCAAGGCTTGAGGAAGTACAGTTATGCCCATTATGGAGTCACTATGAATTAACACCACAGTTTTGCTATTTGTAGCTTCAAACCATTTGGAAGTCACTTTCAAAGACAGTAGCTTTGTTTTCATGTTTTTTCCTATTATATATTATGACAGAAGTGAGAGTAATTTTTCAAGGTCCCATCTCTGTAAAACTCTCATTTTTCATTGGAACTAAAAACCCAGGCTCCTCTTGAGAGAGATGGCTGTTTCTTTGGAAGTTCCAACCTTAAGACTTCAGAAACTTCAAAAAGTACAGTGCTAACTAGGAATTAACAAAAACAACCAACCAACCCACCAGTAAGCAATTCCACTATCTTTTACTTCACCTCCATTTAAAATCTGCCAATCTGACATTTTTTCACCTACATAGAAAGCCTTTTTTGACTCGAGTTTGAGGGAAAATATATTCACCTTGATACTAAATAATAATTTAGGTAACCTCCACCTAAAGAACAACCAAATAACTCAAATAACTAACTGATTCTTAGATAGGGAAGACAGATAGCTGACTGATGACTTTTTCATTTGTTCACTTTCAAGACATATAGAAAGCTCATATATAAGCTCTGGGAATCACAAAAGAAGCATAAAAAGTTCTCAAGAACTACTTTAGGCAGAAAGCAAAGACTTAAGTCTATTTTCTGTACACTATACATTATTTATATGAAGGTACAGAAAAGAAAAATAATAAACCACTATTGTCAGCCTTTTAGCCTCCTCATCAGGTATCCTCCTATTAAGCTGTCTCACACTGATTTCAGCTAATATGACACAACTTTAAAGAAATGTTCTTTAAAAGGACAGAATACCCATAGCATCTTTTCCTTTCTCTCAATTTGAAGAAGTTAAATTTTATACCTGGTTATCGTAGCTTACAATAACTATCAGTCTTCAAAAGTGAGAAGTGTTACTTTTCAATAGAAATGGTTTAAAGACAGAAAAGGAAAAAAGAAAAAAAAAAGATTAACATTTCAGCCTTTTTACAGGTGACCACTTTTCCTAAGAAGCAATCTGTGATTTAGATCACATATTTCTAACATCTAATACACATTTTAGAGGCAATGTTGGGCTAGCATATTTTGATAAGGATTCTTTTTATTCTTTCAGACAGAGGAGACTAACATGGATAACATCTGTATACAACACGTCTTTAAGACTGTTAAATGCCATGTCTATTAATGAAAAGCATATGTACATAAAGATGCTGATTCAACTCCCAAATTGAAGGGTGAGAAGCAGCCAACGCCCTCAGCACCCCTGGATGCAGTTAATTTCAGACAGTTCCAATGGATGTGTACCAATCAAGTTCTCTGAGGTATCTTCCAACACATCCAACTCTCAGTACTTCATATTGCAGTCTGTCTCTTGGTACAAACTTTTGGGGACACCTTGGACAAGACTGAGGGAAAGACAATATTAAGTAGTCTGCTGGATCTATTAACTTTTGTAATTAATTCATCATTCAATTTCAGCAGCAGGTCCCCTTTTCCCTTGTTCACTGATAAAGCAGTTCCAGGAAATTCTGGTTGTATCAGTCATTATTTGCAACTCTCAACTGCACATACGTTAACACCACCCTTCAGTGTCTAGACAATAGTTCTGAACTCCCTCTCTACAGCTTTCACTGTTTCCACTTCCTGAATAGTGTTTTCCATCTGCAGCCTGCACTAGTGGTGAGATCCGTTTAGCCAAGTTGATCTGTTGAGACATCCACTTTTTCTCCAAAGTGGACCATACTTGGGCTTGGAGAAAGCTGTCTTTAAAGATGTTATAGATTTTCCTGAGCTCTTTACCCTTCAAAACTGCTTCTCACAGGATTCCACCTACCAGTTCCCTGAACATCTGAAGACTCTGCTTCTTAACTCCAGGGCTGCACAGCACAACTTTCCTTCCATCACTGACTCAAGGTCTTGACAACTTCATAGTCATTACAGCCAAGACTGCAAATGATCATTATCTTCTTATCAAGTTCTTCCTAGTTTGTAAACAGCAAATCCAACTCTGTGACATCCCTGGCTATCTCAGGCAACAACCATCCCCAGAAGTACTCTCTTTCACACTCTAGACAACAACTTAACCTGCCTTTAAACACCCCTTTGAAATACCAACACTACTAATTCCCATCCCTACAATCACCCAACTCTTTCATTCATCAGCATGCCTCATCAGCCAGGAAGACAGAGACAGAGAAGTTATTCTGACTGTGCTAACTGAAAGGATGGGTAACAGATTTTCAACAACTCGTCCAATATTATAAGCACTACATTTGACAACTTAAAAATTATTTCATCAGTTTGGCAGTTAATAGATTTTTCTCACCCAAGAATCAACAAATCATTTCTTGTCCTAGGAACTCTATAATCCTTTCATCATAACCAGTCTGAAGAAGTCAATCTGCAAGAACTTTACTTCCCATGTTAAAAGATCTGAATTAAGCTCTTTCAAAAGAGTTTCCATCACCACAACAACCCAGAAATTGCTAGCATGGGAAAAAAAGGGCATTTCTGGGTGAGGTGTTAATTAGATAGTTATTGCAATGAAATACTTCAATAATGTAAAAGAACACAGCATTGCAAGAGTACATTCATCATGCAAACAAAAAGAATCCACCACCTAAATGTGTATATAAGCAGCTGTTGAACTAAGATTAGCCAAGTTTGTGGCTCATTTCTTGGAGGAATTTAAAAAACACTAGCCCATTTCCACCAGGAAATGAGAAAAAGTATGGTTTAAATAAAAAAGACTCTGTACCATGTATTCAGTTATTTTCTTTTTTGCTTTATCGTAAACTATGAAAAAAACTTTTTAATGTATTATAAGCAATAATAAGACCCCTCACAGAATAGAGACATTTGGAGACTAGGGTGCAATTTATTTGGAACTATATGTTCTTCCAAAAATACAAAGATCAAGGCTACTGCAACAAGATTATAGGTAAGTAAATTACAAATCAAGAAAAAAATTGTGGTAATACTTTTTAATCTTTTATTATTTCAAACACACACACATATGTGTGTGTATGTATATATATATATATATATATATATATATATATATATATATATATATATATATATAAATATATAAATAAAATCTCAAAGTACAGCATCTTTTATTTTTTAATGACTACATTTTAAGATGACTATTTGAAGTCAGATTCCTGCTTTGCAGCATCAATTTTTAAAAAGCTGTGGGTCTTAAGTGATAGAATGTAAATGAATGCAAGTCCCCACTGGTAGATTTGAATACATAACTTGCTATTAAAAGAAAATAACTTGTAGTGAAATGTCTGGAGAAGTTAATTTCAAATAACATCCAGGAGTCTGTTCCACTTCGTACCTTTATTCTGGTATCATTGCCAGATTTTTTTTCCATTGTGCCTCCTGCTTCCTCAGTTTCTCCAGGTCACTTAGCAGGTCAGCACAGCATATATTTAATCCCTTATTTTTCTCCTCCAGGTTTTTTATAACCAGTCTGTTTTGCTCTTCCTTCTTCTGTGCACACTCCTCAGTGTCCTGTAGAACAGTACCACAAGGGCCGATAAACAAAAAAGTGAGAACTAATCAGCAAATATAAACTGTGCAGTTTTACCCTCACAGCAGCTTCTATATTTGATGGCCAAGGTCACCTGTGCACTTTTATTGGCCTCTTTCATGCAGGTGGAAGGGTCATATTTTTTAGCTGGATGACAGCTTTGATGAGTACACATTTGCAAAGAGCCCATTAATTGATCAAGCTGCCTTTGATGCTGTCCCCAGCTATTTTTGAGACCCACACAGACATATCCTCCCAGACCTCAGCTTTATCAATTAATAATGCCAGTCCCATCAGAATCTAATTACAAGAAGCCACATCTTCACACTTCTACTTTCTTTGCTCCATTTCCATCATTAACTATTTATCTGAAAGTTATAAAGCTTGGATTCTTGGCTTTAAAGCATCTTTCTCAGTTAGTATGTGAGAAAACAGTAAGGTATAGCAAGGCCTAAGGCAATTTTTTCTCCAAGCTTGTCACTTTCTGTGCCACAAAGGCTGACACTGCTTAAAGAACTACTTCAAAGATACAGTCTTATGAAACTATGTACAAGTCAATATACCTTAAGTTCTTGGCTTTTATCTTTAAATTTCCAGTTCAAGCTACCGAATTCATTCTTCAAACGGGTATTTTCCTCATCCACAGCATTTTTTTCTCTGCATTAAGCTGTTTATCTCCTGCTGCTGTCATGTGAGCCTCTATTTAAAAAAAACAAAAAAAAAAAAACCAAAAAAACAAACAAACAAACAAACAAAAAAAAAAAAAAAAAAAACAAAAAACCAAACAAACCAAAAAACAACCCTGAAACCTGTTCACAGACAAAAAAGCAAGTGCAAAAGACCATGCATGTTCTGTGTTACAGGCCTATGAAATGTAACTGACATATGCAGTTTTTATAGCATTATTTTAATTCCATTAGTACTTTAATCATACTCAAAGCCAAATGACTATAAGACACAGTAATGCAAATCAAGAACCAAATACCCTGCTACTACTGAACAAAGAAGCCTATAAATGCAGAACTGAATGGAAATTACTCAGCGAAGCTTATGAAAAAACAGTCATTTAAGAAGATGTACCTGTGTTTATGGATTAAAACAAGTACATGCATTAGAATACTGTTTAGCTTGCACTTATAGCACAACAAAAAAATCAAGGCAGAGCTGAATTCAAAATCCTGCAGAATTTTCAGAACTTGCCACAGTAAACAAAAATGACTATTGAGTGAGGCTACCAAAATGAGTATGATAAAAAATACTTTTAAAGAGAATTAAGTCTGGCTGAATTCGCAGCTCAAGGAAAATAACACAACATTGCTCATCACATACTATGGGTTAGTTCACCCACATACAGAAAAATCTCACTGCCACAAAACAAGAACTTCAAGTTTCTGCAATGACTTCATTTGATTCTTATGACACTTGCATTAAACACCCTCACTCTTCAATACCTATTAGAACTCTGTTTTTCTCTCCAGGAGTCTGCTTTTATTCCACATTCTGTTTTGTCCCATCTCTTTATAAATCAAAAGGGCTTTAATCTATAATATTTTCCTAGCAGTGACACCATAACTGTGGTACAAAACTGATAAAACTTTCATGTCGGTACTGAAGTATAACTGCTTTGCTTAGAATACACAAGCTAAAATGAAATATGTACAGAAACATAAAAAATCATCAACAAGACAATAATCCTCTAGATTATTTCACAATACATCTGATGACAAATGTGAGAGTTTTCAGTGTCTAAAGCTTACATCTGGTTCATAAGTATGTCAGACAAAAAAAGAATGAATATATGCTGAGCAAAAACAGGCAAAACAGTACATTTGAAGTGGCACTTCACCATTCAAAAGACAAAACATTTGTTCTTTGGATATATTATTACACTTACAGTAATAAACTGTTGCTGGCAGAAATGATTTAGATGAATCTTTAAAAAGGTATGTATCCACATTACTATGGAAAGCATCAGTAATTTTGTCTGTTACCCTCCCACTCCACAGGTCCTCATGGAATTGGAGTAAGCAGCTCCTTCGAGTCTTCCTTCTAGCTCATTACTACTTACTTAACATTTATCAAAACAAAAGTCTGTACTTGGAGACACCCTTAAAACATCATTAAAAATCTCACCTATCTGAAACATACTCTTGGCTCTGAGCTAAAAATTCACATGCATATTTTTTATAAAAGCTCCAGCTCTTTAACACATCTAATTTCTGAGTACACAGGTACATCATACTAATAATTAGTTTCATTATACACTGGGCAGAAACTGGGAAGCATACGTGTATTTGTGAAGTAAAATCAGAGATATTTGGGTTCTGTCTTAAATGGGATGTTTTCCAGCAGTTTGGAGAATTAATGGAGACAGGATGGTACAAAAGTGCAACTAGCTATTTTAAATGCTTGTTCTGTATTGCTGAAATTAAGTTTTTGACTGAAATAAACTACTTACTGTGAATACTCAGAACAGTCAGACAGGTTATCCTCAATCAGACTTGCACATTAACTACTTATCTCTACAACTGAACTGTAACTTAACACTTGAAACCAATCAAAAAGCAAATATATCACATCAATCATTAAGCACCAAACTCACCTGAGTAGTCTACAAAGTCACCTACTGCAGCACTAGTGAAACATTACCTCGGTGAGTTACACTTGCATGGAAAAAAATCCTGTTATGTTTAAAAGCATTTTTCTGGGTTACCAATTTGCATGCTCTTATCTTTTCCTCTAAATGAATTGAACTTTTACTCCTCTATCTCATTATTTCACATGCTTATAAAGAAAGGAAAAAAACCAGAAGTATCACTCAGGAGCCATGAATGGGTAGAAATAAGAGTCATATAAAGGAATTCCTGTGAAAAAGACAATTAAGTAAATTATCATCTGCCCTTTTCTATGCAGCTCTTTTTGTACTTTGCTTCCTCAATCTATATATTATTTCATATAACAGGAGAATAAAGATTGATTTCTTATTGCAGAGGACACAAGCAGTGTTCCTAAAAGATCACCCTATTCTGGTAGGCAAGTGAAACAGCAGGGGAAAAAAACACACCTGATCAACACACAGGGCAACCTCCTACATGAGGTTACTTTGACAGATTTCACTAGGTAAAACACTCATCAGGAATTAATCTATTCCCACAGTATCTACTGATATTTGTCTAGATACTATAAAGACAGTCTGACATAACACAAAAGCAATCTCAACTTACACTTTGAGTTGACTCAGTCATACTTGTTTGAATACAACAGGGCAAAGGCAATGTTTGACAGCTTGGTGGTCAAGAACCATAAAAAACCATGTAACATGTAACATCATGTTACTAAGGCATCTAAAGCACACTTCGACAAACTTTCAAGAAAGAAAACTTTTCTAAAGTGAATTTGCTCCAGTAAAAACCAAAATAAACTGATTTTACCCTTCTTTTATTCTGGGAAGTATCAAAGAATATACTCCTTGATATACAGGAAGTATCCCTGTACACTGCTGGATCCCAGAGAGCTCTAGGCAACAGTACATAGACAGAAACACTGTGACCTGGGGGAGCAGACCTTTTGAAGTCTCAGGGGACTGTCATTCCCAAATTCACTTTCATCCTTTCCATTGGCATCTCTTTACTTACAGCACACTTTTTTTTTCTTCCATAATACACTGTTTACTGGCAAATACTATTTCTTTTTTATATATCTTCATAACTTCATAACTTGAAGAGGAAGAAAAATCACATACCAAATCAAACTGAAAAAATCTGCTATGAAGACAATAGATTAAATCCAAAAGGTGACAACAGCTCTTTCTTGTCTTAGCACTGAACACATCAATCTTTTCATGCCAGTAGGATGTTAAAATTATCTGTCTGTATTTCATGTGAATAGACACAAATAAAAGGTTTTAAATTAAAACCTTGTTTATACCCACTGTGAATTTAGACAGTACAGTGCTGTATGGAGACAGTGAAAGTGGCAACAAAAGCAACTCCTCAATGCTAGGAGTCTGATTGCCAAAAAAAAAAAGGGAGTCAGGATACAACTACCAGAAGTTATGTACTGTTTGATATTACAGATATCATCACTAAAATTCCAGTCTTAGTGAAATATTTTTTAATCTGCTAAATACAAAGCATGTGAAAAGAACTATATAACAAAAGCTGTACATGTTATTATTGCCTTAAGTGCTTTCCAAATTTTCATATTTTGGGACACAAGGTAAAAAAAGTTGGAAAAACCAACCCCTAATTCTGCATTTTGAAATCAGTCAGACTGCACTACTAAATAAGTATTGCATAGCTGCCTCTATACAGGCTCGTGAAATGTAAGTAAGAGTGGGTTTTATTTCGTGTGAAGAAATTAACTCAAACTGAAGTAAAAATAACCTAGGAGAAACACAAAACTGACACATCCTTCAATGTTGCTGCTTATACACAAACGCAACAATACACTGGGAGCTGAAGCACTTAATGAAAAAATTCAAATCTATGCACCACAATATTGAAGGAGTCCATCTATGAATGCAAAAAAGGGGCATACATTTGATTTCTACTATCAAAAAGATCACAGTAACAAATACTGAATTCTGTGCTTTCTTCATCACATTCTTTATCAGAAACTTTCACTGTACAGTAGTCCACTTCCAATATACCACATGGAAAAAAGAAGCTAAAATTAACATAAACTGATGAAAAATAGAAGTACTGAAAATACTGACATTATTTGAGGAAATCCTGACATCTTCTACAGAAACAAAATTTAGTAATTAAATTATTTTATTAAAAATTAAATGTGGAAACATAATTTCTTTTAAAGTTCTTCTTCTCAGAATTGCTACTTCAACATTTTGTGAAATATTTTCTCCCTTTCATCATCTCTTTTCCCTCACCAGGTAGTTGAGGTTAACTTATCACACTTTTAACTTCTCTCCATCCAACTCCTGTTTTCATTTCTAGCAGGAATTTAACAGTAAGTATACACCACTAAAAATGCTCCAGTAACATTTTATACCTTCCCTTGATTAAGCTTTCTTAAATTTTTCTCTATATTTTTTCAACTTTATTAATACTCATGGTTCTTGAATATCTATATGCATGTTTTAAAAAAAGCATTGCTAGTTATATTCTCATACAGTCCTCCAAAATGAAGAAAAAAAAGGAAAAAAAAACCTAACAAAATAAATTAATTTTATTTCATCTCATGACTTCTAGATTAGCTAGATCTAATATCTATATAGATATTAGATCTAATATAGATTCTAATATCTATATAGATATTAGAATCTAATATAGATCTAATCTATATTAGATTCTTAAATTATTTTCAGACCTAGGACAAATAGAAATACAAGTTAATTCACAAAAAGCTGAGTGTCACCAGCTGCATTCTGCAGTCTGTAGTGTCCTTTTGGAGTCTGACAACAGCTAGTTATAATACATGAGTTATTTTTAAATCCATACCTCTCTAAAAGTAAAACACCAACAGTGCTACCTGATTCTACTGCACATAGATTCTAAAGCATATCCATATTTGCAGCTAAATATTCAACTAGACTCTTAACAAGGATGAAAAAAGCCAATGAAAAATAGCAACAGACATATACTGCATTTAAATGTAACACATGTAACAGTATTTTGAGTGCATATCCCATTTTTAATTCATATTACTTTTCATTCCTAACCTTCTGCCAGAACAATCTT